CCAATGTAGAGCCGGCCAACGCGCATATATTAATTTAAAACATAATTTAATTAACATAATTTAAAAGTAAAAGCGTCACTTCGACTTCCAGTTGTCCTTGTGTGCAGCTTGCGGCCTTCTTTCTGGGCCAGCCATAGACATCAGACAATACCACACATGTTTATAAATTATATACAGCTGCCTCTTAGCGAGTCACAAGGTTCTCTAATGAGTAGGCCTACCTCCCAGAACTACCACCAAGTACATATATTATTTACCTTACAGTTATACGTCCTTATACGTCTATTTATATAACATGTTTATGTTTCTTTGTGGATTTACTCAAAACGTTGATACAAGACCCCCCCCCCAAAAAAAAAAAAAAACCCAACAAAAAACAACAATAAACAACAAAAAACAAACAAACAAACAAACAAAAAAAAAGAAAAAAAAGAAAGAAAAAAAAAGAAAAATGTAAATCTGCAGTTTCCAAAGATACTCATCAAGTCAAGTTTAAAAATTTAAAGTCATCAAACGTTCGGGGCCATTTATTTCCTCGCTACTTCTGCCTCTGACACCAGGCGACCTCCACCTCCTTCAATAACAGATACGTCAACTTCTGTCCAAGATGGATGGGCATTGTTGTTTTTTTTTAGCATAAGCAAGACAAATGAACAGAGCTTACGATGATACATGTACCATTAAGTTTTTAAAAAATTTTTAATACCTGTAACTACCCAAAAATTGACAGCACCTGATTCCACCGTGTCGTGACTCAATATATGCTGAGGCAGCTAAGTAAAGCACACCAATACCACTTTAGGAAATTGAAAATTAATATTCCGCCCTGCCCCCCTCCCCCTCCCATCCTCCCCTCCTCCCCCTCCTGTCCCCGTCTCCTTCTTCATGCTCCCCTCTTTATTTTTCATCTTTTTGTTTATAATTAAAGGGTGGGGTCATTTTTACAGCTGGTTTTCCCATACATTATGTCGTATTTTGATTTAGTGGATCTAATGTTTTCTTCTGTAGCTTTTTGTTTTGTTTTGTTTTGTTTGTTGTTGTTTGTCAAGTTTGTCTTCGTATTTCTGTCAAATCCCCGCGGGCTCGGGTTCCCGTCCCATCTGAGTCCCCAGATTAAGTCTTCCCAGCAAGCTAGGCTGTAATCGACAAACGCGATGTAAAAAAAAAAAAAAAAGAAATTAAACGAAGCGAGAACGAAACGAAATCTCTCTCAGCGATTACAAATTACATGTACATGCGTTTTTATTGAGTGCGCGCAGAGCGGAGAACCTTAATAAGATCAGAGAGATCCAGGCGGAAAAGAGGAAGGGGGAAATGAAATAAAAGGGATTCGAGTTAAAGAAAGATGAAAGGAAGGATGGCAGGACGGAAGAAAGGAAGGAAAAAGCTATTAATTCGAGGAAGAAAATAATGAAGGAGCGCTGGAGAAGAAAAGGAGTGAAAGAGGGGAAAAAGCGAGGAAATAAAGAAATAAAGAAGGAAAAAAGAAAGGGGCTAATAAAAATGGGAGAGGAGGAGAAATTGGAAGAAAGGAAAGAGGGAAGTCAAGTGTCATAGAAACTACATTTGTCGCTTCCTGGTTGTTCACATTAGCCTAACATCTGCGTTTGTTGCCATTTTTGGTCCAAAAGTTGCCACAAAAATGGCAAAAGTTGCCATAAAAGTTGCCATTAATGTTCAAGCTTTCGACTCTCGGTGACGACATTATGTTGACAGAGGTAACTTAATCTAAAGCACAAGAAATTTCAACAGGCCTATGTTCTGTTTAAATAAGCACCCAGAATATCACTTGCGGCCACAAATGATGTAAAAACGTGAAAAAAGAAGGTTTCACAACAGAATGAAATCAAAATTAGAACAGCACATAAACAACTACAAAAATTAATAAATAAAATAAGAGCGTGTGTCCATCTTTCCAAAGATTGTCCGTTTTAACCCTAAACGTGTGTAATTTAAGAAAAAGGGGCCTGCCAGTGTCAGTGTTCGGTTTTGGTGGAGATACGCTCTAATATAACACATATTTATTTTTTTTAAATGTAGGAACAACATCAAATTACATGACATTACGGTATATAAACACACACAACAAAAAAAATAATTTTAAAAAATAGAACCACAACTCACCAGAACAGTAATAAAAACTAACACCCCCATGGCCACCTTAAAATTATAAAAATACATGTCTAATATGTTATGGAGAAGCCTTTTTTTTTTTTAAATGCCAAAAATCGCGGCCGCGATTCGCGGATCGCGACCACGCAGATGCCAGATTAACGAGGGACTAACCTGGGCTTCTGTCCGTACTTCCGCGCTTCTTGTTGTTTTTCTGGTAAGTATTATACGGCGTTCGTAACTATATAATGGACACATTTGACATTTTCAGTTTGTAGTGAATTTTAAATTTATCCCCGGATGCCGGCCGAAACATACTCATATCGATTTTGGACCTCCAAGGAATCTTTAACGTGTGCAACTTGCACACGGGACCTCCGAGATTTTTCGCACTTGTCCGAGAATGCTAGGTTTCCTACCAGAAGATCAGGGGAGTGGCTGAAAGACAGCAGTAAGAAAGAGCCAAGGAGTAGCAATAGAAGGGCTGCTGAAAGAGTCAGGAGCCCAGAGGAGGGGGAAACAGAGGTGAGGAGGTGTGGGCAGAAAATGGAGACGAAAGCAGACGACAGAACATTGCCAGAGAGCAGGAAAGGATGTGAAAGGAGACAATTTTAGAGAAGAAAATGTTCCATCGCCATCCGGGTTCGAACCCCGGACCTATTGAATGAGAGTGAGAGGCAGACACCTTAACCACTAGGCCACGAGATTCTCCTCTTCCTCGTTTGATTTCTTCTCTGTACATGACATTCTAAAAAGTATCTGAGAAACCACATCTCTCCTGTTGCTTCTGTTTTATTCACACTGTTTTTGGTAATTGTCCAGCATTCACAGTCGTGCAAAACACATGTAATACAATGACATGTATGTTCATAGAGGCATTAAACTCATGCATTTAATAGCAATAATGATAACAATAATAAAGATAATAATAATAATAAT